AAGTCATATTATAACATCGACTGAGATAAGGAATAAAATGAAATATTAAAATCATGATGTATCTCGCTGCATTGTGCGAGTACGCTTCTAGTATATATATATATATATATATATATATATATATATATATATGTTGTGAGTGATGAAGGGAAAGAGGACCACAAAGCTTTAAATTGGATGCAAAGTGCAGTAGCTGTGGGTGGTGCTGCAACTGGTGCAAATTTAGTGATATATTGGATCTGATGCATGAATTGACACTTGCTCTCATCTTTCATGTCTCTCTCACCTAACCCTACTCCTACTCCTACTCCACCATCATCTCTCTTCCTTCAGATTCTTCTGTACCAGTAAACATCTAAAAACATTGTAATAACTTTATATAACACTTGTTCCAAATGTCATATAAAAATATACAGATTCCGAAGGCAGTTTCTGTTAAGACGGTCACCTCCAAACACCTTTACATGATATAAGGAACCCACCCATATGGAATATTACAGAACGATCTAAAGAGAGTCATAGCTTATTCAACTTGCAGTCATATATATATATATATATATATATATATATATATATATATATATTTGTTAACCTTAATAATTGTGTTAACTTTATGAACTGATCATGACCATTGATTTTTTAAAATAAAGGGTTGAGATTAATCATGTTATAAATTTAATTTATTAAATGTGTAATCTCACAAACATGTGGGAATATAATTGTTGAAGGGTATTTATGTAAAAGATAACGTGCATTCAATGACATCGGTTACAAATAGTACATGTCGTATCGTTCAATTGTGTTCATAATTGTCACAAGTGTTCATACATGTTCAATTTGTGTTCATAATTGCTAAAAATATTCATATACATGTTCAATTTATGTTCATAATTGGTAAAAGTATTCATGTATATGTTCGATTTGTGTTCATAATTGACACAAATATTCATATATGCTCAATTTGTATTCATAATTGCCACAATTGTTCACATATATGTTCAATTTTGTGTTCATAATTGTTACATGTGTTCATACATGTCAATTTCTGTTCATATGGGTGTATACATGTCAATTTGTGCCATATATGTCAATTTGTGTTCATAATTACCAAGACACTCGTTTTGATTATTTACTTCACTTCCCAATCTCGAACTCCAAGTGTCACCATAAACAATTTTAACTTTCTCAATGTTGTCGTATTGTTTTCCAATGTCTTTATTTATAATTGCTTGAACGATAACAAACATTTTATTAGCGGATCTCCTCCACCAATCACAAATTTATAAATATTAAAAATATAAGATCAATATTGAAAAATTAAAAAGCCACAAGATCAATATTAAAAATACAAAAATCATGGCATTTTATGGATCTTGTAACTCTCAATTAATGATATAGAAGTTTAAATTTTTTTTACCTATATACCCTTAACATTAAATTCTTAGATAGTGAAGAACCTAATACTAAGATGGATTGTGATTGGTCCAAAAGGTTTATAAAGTTAACACAATAATTTCAGTTAACATTTGAACTAAAATCTCTCTCTCTCTCTCTCTCTCTCTCTCTATATATATATATATATATAGTGATTGTAATAATAGACAACTTGGTCTTTCGGAAAATCTCGTCGAAAATATGTCGAAAATCGGGTGTTTTCAATGGACATGACTTCCGATGATTGTGGTTCAAAGATGAAGTTTTGATCATAAACGCCGAATGTGAGTATCCGTCGAAAAGTCATCCAAATCCATCTTTTTTTGAAAAATAAACTAAACAAGTTTCCTCTAAAATATGTGGAAAATCCGTCTAAAATTTCCAACAGATACTTTTATAAGAAATTTCCGTCATAAATATCCAATATTCTAACAGTTTGGAAGATCAACAGTTATAAAATATCAAACATCAAACCTAACAAACTCATAAATCTTCTCTTAAAAACTGACGAAAAGTAATTTATGTGAAAACAACTTATCAATTTTTATATAAATATCGATTTTTAATACTTTATTTGAGTTCATTTCAAATGCAATCCATCACATTTGTACAAACAATGTAACCGAATAAATTGAGATATTTATGGAAATGATGAGAGTTCATTTATTATGATTTGAATATTTATGGTAGATGAATAATGTTCATTAATTATGATCAATACTTTATATTAGGAAACAAACAAAACTTCTATGAAAAAATCACATATTAATCAAATTATATAGACGGTTAAGATTAAGTTGTATTGGTTGTACAAATATAAAAAATTGTATAATAACCTACTTTTATTTTATTTATATAAAAATTATGAAATATGTGTTTGTTAACTAAAACATAACACAAGACAAGTAATAGAGCCAACGGGGTTCGTTTCCCAATACCGTTAGCTCTTCCCTTCCATTACAAGTTAAAAAGCTCACTGAAGTACTCCAGTACAATATAAAGACATATCATACATGCATATATATATATATATAAACACATATCATATAAAAACGTGGAACCAATCTGTTTTCGTAAGACCATTTTTTTTACACTTGAAACTTTACAGTGTTTTTGTTGTGAATGTTCGACTTTTTTTACCTTCACTGCGTTTTGCTGGGAAGTTTTAAGTGTAAAAAAATGGTCTCATGAAAACAGACTGGTCTCACGTGAACCCAACCCTGTGTATGTATGTGTGAGAATGTGTGAGAGAGAGAGGGAGCATTATTATGAGAATTCATATGTGAAAATCAGTCGGTGTACGATACATTATTTTGTATGATTATTTTTCATATACAATTATGATTTAAAATATTGATTAATATATATTTGTTTTGTATATGTTTGATTTATAATATGAAACTTTTTGACTTGTTTGTGAAACAAAAAAACATGTATAAAAGTATTATAATGTGAACTGAATATATATGAAACAAATGTATTTTGAAACAAATATATGTTAATCAATACATTAAAAACTAACCTTAGATGGAAAAAAGATTTTGTAAAACAATGTCTTAAAGTAAAAGTTCCAACAATTATCACAATATCCGTGGTTCTCCTTTGATTAATATATATATATATATATATATATATATATATATATATATATCGATCTCGTGTATTACACGGGGTAATTTGAAAAAATTAAATCATGTCAGGAACTTATCTTACAGATATGAATGATTAATGAAAGTACGATGCTACTTCAGACTTGTACTCTTGAAATAACTCTGAAGTATAACTCTGAAAAATGACTCTTGTACTCCTGACATGATTTAATTTTTTTAAATTACCCCGTATAATACACTAGATCTAACCTAGTGTGTGTGTGTGTATGTGTATATATATATATATATATATATATATATAGGAGGTTCGAGAGAAAATCCAAAAAATGAAAAGCTGAGATACACTTTAATTAGTTCATCTATACGGTATGCATATATGCAATTATGTATAATACTAGAAATGTAACCTGATTTCTAAGCAAGGATGCATACCGAAAAAATTACTTACAGATGAACGGAGTGTTTGTAAGTTTTTCGTCCCATCGTTATTATATAAATACAAAAATCACATCCCATAAAACCGATTAATTAATACAACAAATGAGAAGTGGTACAAAAAGCATTTGCTTGATCTCGGCTAACATTTATCAGTACAATGTTGCTGTGTTACACATCAAGAATGGGAAGAACTCGTACAAAATTATTTCATACAATATATATATAATATATATATATATAAGTATACATATATATATATGGAAAAACTGAGATTAACATGAAGAAAACCAACACTTTAATAAAAAACCCTCTTGATTTCTTAGTCTTTTCAACGTTTTTCGTTATTGTTATCGTAGCAAATGATCGAGAACGTACCATAAACAGTGTCTGGCCGACCGCCTGCTGTACTGCTCGAATGATCATGCTTCAAGAATATGAACATCAAGAAAGAATTAATTTCACAAATGTGAATCTGATCGTAGTCATCATCATTTGTTTGATTCATCATGTCCGCCATTGTCGTCTGAAGAGAAAAACTTCGGGTTCATGCTCAAATGAAATGGTCGCATCTCTTGGTTTATTGTATAAAGAGATGGTGTGAAATTAGAACTTGAAGACAAAGGGTTATGTGAAGAAGTTGATGAAGAACTCAGCATTTGGAAATTTAGTTGTTGTTTTGGATCAAACTCACCGGAATTATGATCGTGTGACGGGAAATACGACTGGGTTTGAGGCCGCGGCGGTGGCGCTGGGGGTGGAGGATATAGAAGAAGCTGAGATGATGGATGATTAATGGAGGACACATTCATATTGAAGTTATGAACTGTATCATGATCTTGATGATGATTTCCGACCGACCCGTAGCTCCCAAATTGTGATAACGACAAATTCGAAGGATCCCATTTGAGAAAAGAATTGTTTGGGACAACATTGTTTAACAAACCTGGTAAAGATGACGAATTAGGGTTTCTTTCAAAGAAATTACTAGATTGAACAAATGTACCATGATGGTGATGATGATCATCATGTTTGTTTCTAGAATCTTCTTGATCGTGATCTTCGTTCGTTTCTCTCGCGATCACTTTAGATTTATCGGGGTTCCAGTAATCCTCCCAATTGAGACCACTAGAATTACTAGTTTTCACCCCTTCCATTCTTTCAGATTGTGAAGATGCATTTAGCATTGCTTGCAGACCAGGACCAAAGCTTCCTGGTGGGATTTGAAGAGGTGGGAGTTCATCGATTTCGTGTTTAGCTGCATCAAGCAACCAATCAACGACTTTACTCGGTTGGTTTAGCCCTAACCGGTCTTGAAGATCATACAATTGGATAGCAGTAGGAACCGAAAGCCTAACTCGCCGGTCTCTTAACCCTCTAACCGTACAAACTTTACTATGCCGGTCTTTCCCACCAAAGGCTCTAGAAACACGAACGATTCTAGGGTCTTTCAATCTAGACCAAGAAGATGTGGTTAAGTTAGGTTTAGGGACGATATTGATCTTGTTTCCGCCATCGTTACCACCTTCTTGCTTCGTTTCATAGTCCGATTCTCTTAGATTTGAAATATTCATCGTATTTGACTCATAACTAGTGCAAAAGCTACTCCTTTTATGCTTCAGATCGCAGGCCGCCTCCGGTGTCTCAGATTCAAGAAAAGGAGATCTCTGAAACTAGAAAAGCATCAGATCGATTTCAAAGCTTTTTCAGCCCTAATTTAGTATGAAAAAAACCAAGCACCCATCAAGTACTATGAGTACTCCATAGCTTTTCGTGATTGTTCTTGAAGAAACACACATAGAATGAGAAATCGAAGCTAAAAATAAGCATAACGTATCGATATAAAGTACTTGAATCAGAAAAAACCATAAAGAAAGCTTACTTGCACACAGATTTCAGGTACTTTTAACCAAGAATCTACTCCTTTTCTTCAATTAGTACTTCACGAAATTGCTGTTCTGGTTAAGACCAAGTTCGTTTCAAAGCAAGCTACCCTAATCTAGACCAGAAAGTATCAAACTTGATCACTTGTACTTCCTCCAAAGAGAAAACCCAAGAGTAGAAGACTTCAGTTTTAGAGAGAATACATGAAAGAAATGAGTAAAGAGAGCTTAGAAATGTTGGAACTCAACCAACCATGGCCAATAGGAATTAGTTTCTAGTAAAGATAAAAGCAATGACTCATAGGCTGCCACGCGTCGTACCTGTCTTCGGCATCATCTATAGCTGTCAAGATCTTATCGAAGATCGATTATTACTTTCCCTCTCATGCGAACATGTTGACGAACAAATACCCATTACAACTTTCGCGACATTAATCTAACTAAACTAATCTAATTCATCGAAAGTGACAACCTGCAAGATCTATAGACATGATTTTTCTAAATCAGTACAAACACAAAACTTGTAAATATTCTTGACCCGAGTTTAACTAGCTCAAACCAGACCGCAAGATTGTCATTTTTGACAAATTTAACTGATTTCGTGATCAGGGTACCGTAGGTTATGATTGTGTTGATGATTAGCAAGATATATAGATATATATTTACACATATATATACATATATACTCAGTATTCTCCTACTAAGGCTAAGTTACATTCTTTCACAAAAGAGAAAAAATGAAGCTAGGGTTTGTTGGGATAAAATGGTGAAAGAAAAAACATAATAATTTTTCTATGGGGACCATTCTGCACATATTGAAAAGTTGTGGGTAGTGCTTTATCGGCAGTTACAAAAGATAGGGCATTTTTTCTTGTAGTTTTCTGTATCACATGGTGCAAGAAACAGTTGGATATGCACGCCTATTATATTTGGAACAATGTATTTCTTGTATCTATATATATGTATATATCTAGTAATTTCCATTAACTAAGACCAAGTGTATTTATTACTGTCGGAATATGTAGAACTCCGTAGATTACTCTCTATAAGAACATGTGAGGAAAGGAAGAGAGAAATGGTCCAAGTCTAGTGATTGTGGGAGTCCAACACAACCGTTCCAACTGAGGCTAGACGGGCACAGATCGTTTTAGGGTATCGAGTTTCTAAAGTGGTAGACCTTGGTTTTGCTGATAACATGTGAGAATATGTAGAACCCCGTATGTTACTCTCCTAAAAGACTGTTGAGAGAAGATAAATGAGATTTTATCATATATCGAGAATAATGGTCCAAGTCTGACCATGATGGGATTCTAACACACAAAATTAGACGAGCACGAATTAACTGTTCTAGAATGTCAAGTCCCGAGAATAGTAGGTCTTGACTCTGATATGTACCATATGAAAATAAGTGGAACTCATATAGATTACACTTCAAAAGAAAAGAGATTCTAACATATATTGAAGAGAAATAGTTCTATTCGACACTACATTAAACTAAATAAATAAATCAAGATTCAAACTTTAAAGTAGCATAGTGAGTAAACTTGTTACAAATATTAGATCAAGCTTTCACATGAAATTTTTGGTATTGTGTATATGGAAAAATACCTTTATATCAAATTTCTTCTTCTCAAAATGTCGTCTTGACGGTTTTCAAATTCAAGATTCACATTTACAAGTACTGGGTATCGATCTAAATTCGTAAATTTAAGTGATTTCTTGAGCATATAGCTCAATTAACAAAGGAACGAAACGACCCTGCTCAAATTTATGTGTACATTAATACAATTATAGGGTGATTAATTATTGAAAAAAAGTAATGCAATAAATGAAAAAGGGGGAAGTAGTAGTAGTAGTAGTAGTAATAGTGTTATTATGAAAACTAAATAAATGGAATTGAATTATGGGGTTTAGAGTATGAAAGATAATAATTACAAAAGGAAAGGAGTCATGTTGAGGTGTATGAAAGCAACAGTAGGTAGAGAGAGAGTACCCTTTAGAATTATGGATGAGGGACCAATTTACTTGTCTATCTTCTTCCTCTCTTCTTTAAAACATGCACCCTAAGGACCACTTCTGCTTTCCTTCTTTCCACAGAGATTTGCATGCAACATACTCATCTCTCCCCCTCTCTCTCTCTCTCTCTCTCTCTATATATATATATATATACACACATATATATGTATGTATGTATGTATGTATGTATGTATCTTTGATGAATTTGCTATATGGTACAAGAAGTATTTGAATATAAAGATTGACACCCACAAGTCTTTATATGCTATAATATTCATGGAGGGGATATATATATATATATATATAGAGAGAGAGAGATTGGTTATTATACAACTTTTGACATTTGTGCAACCAATACAACATAATCTCAACCGTCCATTTCATTTTATTAATATGTGATTTCATAGAAGTTTTGGTTGTTTCATAATATAAGGTATTGATCATAATTAATGAACCATATTCATCTTCCATAAATATTCAAATCATAATAAATGAACTCTCATCATTTCTATAAATATCTCAATTTATTGGGTTGCATTGGTTGTACAAATGCGATGGGTTGTATTTGAAACAAACTCTATATGTATATGTATATGTATGTATAGATATAGATATTGAGTGGGTGTATCTATTTCAAATGATAGAGATAGAAAAGAGAAAGAGACGAAGGTGGTTTTGGCTTCATATATTTGACCTTATCTAATGATTAGAAGCTGCAAAGAGGGGTTTTAGTTTTGATGTGTGGTTTCTATCAATTCGGTTGGAAGAAACAATCTATGACCAATTACTCAAAGGAGGAGGAGGAGGAGTTGTGTATGACTTTTCCACATAACTTTGGTGGCTATTTCTTTAGATTTGGGAAATCGAAGTGAATTAAAGAGGGTGAAGACTTGGGTTATTTGTTTGTTGACGGATTTAAATCTTAAAAACAACCCATAAATGCGTTTAGGGTTTAAATCATGAATCTTGAAATCTTGAATCTTGTTTGTACGATTTGTTTGATTGGACCACATACGACTTGCTAACTATGTTCTTTAAATGCTTAGGGAACCCTTAGTTGAAATGAAAACGAATTCTTTTTTGGTGTTTTGCACTACAAAACAGTTGGTCGTTACCTATAGACTGATGGGTTTGTGACGTAAATCAACAAATCCGGCTTTGGAATCCAATTTTCCGAATCTAGTGGTGATCTGCCACTGAATCAGTGTGGTTATTTCCGTCAGTGAAAACCATCTTTTTACATTATAATTTTTAATTAATTTAAAAGAATAAATAGAATGATTAAAATGCAGTATTTTACACTCTCCGTATTGAAATAATTGTTCACAATTGAAACGACATACATTTTAAACATATATGCAAAATTACTACACTTTAATTAATCAAATAACAACTTACCTTTATTTAATTTTCTTTCTCTTCATAACTTTTAAATATTTATGCATTAATTACAAATATATTTGAAAATTAATTGTCTATTTTCAAATTAGACACTTATTTTAAGACAAGTATAAATAGAAATGTAAACACTTATTTTTAATATGTAGCATATAATTATACGTCAGAAAACAAAAATTAAGGTGTTTGTTTATTTTTTATGAGTTTTTAAATTCTGAAATTGTATTTTTCTGATTAATAATTGATGGTGTGAAAATCTGAAAACAGAATTAATAAGATTGTTTATTTTTACAAACTTATAAGTATTTGAATGTATGTAATTGTCTATTTTACCTTAATTAGGTTTTTTCTTATTTTAGTGAATTAAAAAATCTGATATATAAATCAGTTAATAACAGAACAGAAACAGCTTTGATGGTGAAAGCCCAGTAAAGTGGGATATCCGTTGTTCGAAAATAACACGTCTCATCCATGTCCTATCAATTAAAATAACACACATCATATTTTTATATATTTTTAAATTTATTTAATTCAAGTTTGTAATCTCCTTGTATATATTCACATGTGATTAGTAGAGAAGAATGTGATGTGATAATTTGGGTATAAGGAATTTATCCAATGAATGGGGTTTAGATGTTGCTTTTTATCCACTTATGAGAAGAAAAAAAAATAGTTTAAAACCTCTAACTTCTTATTCAAATAGAAAATATGTGATGAATAAAATGTGTTTAATAAAATAAAATAAAACAAAACCAAACACCACTTTTATTTTGTAATGATTGAGACTCTATAATCATTTTCACTCTTTTTATATAATTTAATGATTGAATGGTGATGTTTTAGTACAAATATATTAAAATAAATTTTAATATATATATATATATATATATATATAGTTAGGTTCATCTGAGACCAGTATGTTTTCGTGAGGCTCGTAAGACCATTTTTTTACATTTAAAACTTCACAGTAAAACGTTGTACAGAAAAAAAAAGTCGAACTTTCCTAACAAAAACATTGTAAGGTTACCTTTACAGCGTTTTGCTATCAAATTTCAAGTGTAAAAAGACGGTCTCACGGCTCTCATGAAAACAAGTTAATCTCACGTGATCTCAAGTCTCTCTCTTTCTCTTTCTCTCTCTCTCTCTCTCTATATATATATATATATATATATACTTGGGATCATGTGAGACCAAGGGTTTTTCGTGAGACGCGTAAGACCAATTCTCAACCATTGGATTAGATCTACAATCTGAACATTCATARTCACAAAATTGTCACGAGACTTCTCAATAATCACAAAATTGTCACCGTGCAACTTTAAACCATTAGATCATTAGTTTATAAAGTTGATCAATGAAAATAAATTGGTCTTACGGGTCTCATGAAAAACCATTGGTCTCACGTGAACCCAACCCTATATATATTTCTTAATTTTAAAAACTTTCTTGACATTTAATTTAGACCATAAAAAATTATTTAAAAAAATCTAATTTAATTTAAGAAAACTATTTTTTCTCTTGATTTCTATACATGTGCACAGGTAAAGTAAACATATTGTAAATACTTTTTCTAGAAATACTATTATAATTTATAAATATTTTTTAATAATCCTATTATAATTTGTGAATACACTCTAAATATAAAAGATCTGGTATAATTTGTAAACATATTATGAAATCAACTAA